CTAAACCTTGGATGAGTTTCATATGGCAGGTTTATATCCCAACTAAACTCTTATTTACTCTTTGGCTTGCGTTTTGGAATAGGCTACCCACGAAGGAGGCCCTGGCTTTTCTGGGCATTCGTTGGCACTGTACTTTGTGTGGGGCAGAACTGAAAAACATTGCCCACCTGTTTTTCCGCTGCCTGGTTTCAGCTCAGGTTTGGGGAGCTATCCATTGGTAGCTTGGCATTGAGAGGGATCGCTGTGAGGAGGATGCGGAAAGACCACAGGAGAACCGTGGCTAGGAAGAGGGCTGCCAGACTTGCCCTCGCCTGCTCTGTCTGCAACATTTGGAAGGTTTGCAATGGTGTTTGTTTTGATAATGAGTCTTCTGTTGTTCGTAGCATTGTTTGTAAAATCAAAGTATTGGTGTATAAAGAACCCGAGTCCATTGTAAGTGCATATAATAATTATATTTGTTCACAGAGTTTAAAAAAAGTATTGGAAAGTGAAAAAGGTGTGGCTAGAATTGGTCAAGAGGAGAGAGACATTTTCTTAGGCACAAATTCTTTACCTTAAAAGGAAAGTGAAGATTTTTTTGGACGGGCGAGAAAAGAAAGTGAGAAGTTTTTTATGCGACGGAGGGAGTAAATTTTAATAGTCAATGTTTTGCATAATTGATCAAGAAAAATTAAATTTGACACTAGTTTTAAAAACATAAGTACTCCACGGTCCACACAAAACAATAAGGGCTAAAATATGTTGTCGCACTGGACCTTTTCATTTTTTTCTCATTTCAGGATGGGCCATTCATGGTATCACACGAGATAAATGCTTCATTAGTCCAAAACACTAGTATACAATTTCATTTTCTGCTTTCCCTATAATAAAATGAATATGTAGCTCTTATAGTTTATCTTTCTTCTAAATAAATTTTAACCACGCATCTTTCACTTTTCACCAAACACCTAACACTTTTCTTACACACACCTTCTTAGACCCTATTTTGTGAGATCCTACTGGGTCGTTGTTGTAGTGCTTATATCTAACACTTTTCTCAAACATCGTGAAATCAAAGTATAAACTTCATTTTGGGATGGAAGGAGTGCCCTAAACCTAATATTATACGAAGTATATAAAAGCCTATGTGGAGGTTCGTGAAGTTTTGAGATCAGTGAGACTCCATATGAATCCGCCTCCCCTTTTAATAGATTTTTTAATGTGCATGCTCACTTGAATTCAAACTAGAACCACTACCACTCCATTCAAGTTCCTTGTACGTTTTTTTTAATATCTTTATATCCTAAACTAGAATAAATTAATTATGCAGTGTATCAATTATCATTCAATCAAATAATTATATAAATGAAGAAAAATTGAAATACTCAAAGAAAAAGCAGATAGAGGAAATTAAAAATCAATAATCAGAAGGAACTACATGTCTACATTTCACAATTGTAAATTTATCAATCAACACCAACACAATTTTAAACTATTAATCTAATTCAATACTTATACTAGATAGATAACAATCGAGAAACCAAGAATCAAACAGAGTATTGAATTCTAAAATCAACAATTGGGAATTACAAATTGGAAACCACTCTTGAAAAAATCAACTCTCAATATAAACTAACAATCTTGTTAAATATTTCATTCCATCAATTAGGTGTACACTTCATTCCGACGATCAAGTATATACTCTCCTTTTTCTGGTCGTACCAAAATAAAGTTTAAATTTCTCGTGTTTCTTAAAGTAATAATATGGAATAAATTTTATAATTGGTTATAGCAAGAAGGATAAAATGCCCATGAAAAATTACACTCTTATCCCTCAATTTAATGCCAATACGACAGAAGGTCAACCAAAAGACTATCAATGGAAGAAGGGTACCCATAAACGAAGACCACGAACATACTATACTATTTGATAATTTGTTAATAGAAAACTAAATATACCATGTACCAATTACAGAATTTTCTCTAATAATATGTGGCCCTAACTTTTCACTCTTCCGAACAAATTCCAACTACACTTTTTACTTCTGGACACTTTTATTAAACTCCTTAGAACTGGACAGAGGATGTTGCAAACAATCAACTACCAATCAAGAATCAATTAAAAAATTTCATATGCTACAGTATAATTTATGATTCAGTAATTACTAGTTACGAACCTTTTTGAATAAAAATTGGTTTGGATTCGGGAACAGACGCGCGCGCGCCGGCGCCGATTATGACGTTATTCACTTTCGCTGAAATAGCTTGGACTGCGACTCCGCCGTATGCGACTGCGAGGTTGCCGAGATAGGTCGAACGCCGTGCCGGAGAGATTTACTCAAAGTAAGGAGAGGAAAATCTGCGATTTCTAACGGACAACGACGTCGTTTTATGGAAAGAAAAGGAAGGGCTAGAATGAAAAATTGGATTCGAACCCGGGACGCACCTTGGTTAAATGCGAGCTATGGCTTCACCGCCAAAACCTTGTTTTTAATTTGGTTGGAAGAATAAATTAAATTTCATAAATAATTGATACTGTTTTATAGAGTCTTTACTTCTTGACATTTGTAGTTTCAAGTTTATTAAATCGGTCCAGTTCTAATGACACCGGAGAACGGAGCTACTAGCGGTACCATTGGGTTTTTGGGGCATTTTCGGTGCTTCGTTCGTAAAATTGACGGTTCCTACACCCCTAACACACCCCCTAAACCCCCACCTTACTCCCACCCCTGCACCCCTACCCCAACCCCGCCATAACCCCCCACAAAATGTGTGGCTTTGCCACACATTTTGTGGGGGGGTTACGGCGGGGTTGGGGCAGGGGTAGGGGTAGGGTGGGGGGTTTAGGGGGTGGGTTAGGGGGTAGAAACCGTCAATTTTACGAACGGAGCACCGGAGGTGCCCCAAAAACTCAGTGGCACCGGAGTGGCACCGTTTTCCGGTGTCACTGGAACCGGACCGTTATTAAATACCCCGGAGTATTTCTTAATACTCCCCCGTCCCTAAAAACATTTCTCCTTTCTTTTTTTAATTCGTTCCAAAAAATACGTCTTATTTCCATTAAAAAGTCATTTTTACCACTTACTTTTTCATATCATAGCTATCACATCATACTTTTTTACTAATAATCTACCCAACAAATTCTATTTTTATTCATCACATCAAAGGACTTTTTTGGAAATTCAATACCAAAATACATTTCTCTTAAATCTCTTAAAAAACAATAACTCTCATATTTTTAAGAACAGAGGGAGTAATTTTTTAGGACTACATGTAAAAAAGTAAATTTAGAATCAAAAGACTTGTTATAAAATAACTATCAAATATTGAAAACTACGAAGATAACAGCTTAGAATTGAGAACTATTTATGAAAGACACTCTATTATAAAGGTCTATTTATAAAATTTACTTTAAAATAAAAGTTTTGTTTCTTTTTTTGTATCAAAGTATACAAATTTTAATTATTTACTTATACAATTTGATAATAATTAGTCTTGATAAAGAATACATCTCTATATATATGGATTACAAGAGAGAGTTCTAATCCTTATAAAATAAAAGTTTATGGTAACAATAGAATAAAGAAATAATAAAATAAGGAAAGTAATTAATAATATTGTTTCTTATTGTCACATGCAAGCTTATCAATATAGACGAGAGGCAGTTTAGAGCATAAATATTCAAACAGAGTTGGTAGAAGCAATTGTGTGAAAACATCTGCTAACTGTTCAGAGGATGAACATGATGTGTTGTCATGGTGCCTCTCTCACAAAATGACAGTATGAACTAGCATGCTTCATGCGGCCAGGCAAAACAGAATTCTTAGTCACACAAATAGTAGATTTATTATCACGGTAAAGGAGAAGTTTTGGTGGAGGGATCCCCAGAGCATGAGTAATGTACCACGACCAAATAGCTCCTGCCACACCTACAGCCATGACACGATATTCAGCCTCAGTGGAAGATCTAGAGACACACATTTGCTTATTCGTACGCTAAGGTATGAGATTGAAGCCAAGCATGAACATGCAACTAGTATTGGATTTATGATCATATTTGTCATTGGCCCAATCAAAATCAGAATAAACAGAGAGACCAAGTCTCCTCTTTTGAAAAAGAAGATCAATATGTATAATACCTTTTAGGTATCGCAGAATGCGCGGTAAGACATGAAAAAATTGTTGAGGCGGGTTGTGCATGGTTTAATACACTCGATTAATAGCATACTGGATATCTAGACCAGTAACACCCAAATAATGCAAACCACCAACAATGATGCGGAAGTGACTAGAATCCCTGGATGGAACAGATGGCGTTACCACATGTCGGGCCGCCAAAGAAAAAATAGCAGGATGACATTTCGACACGAAGAAGGTCACGTGCATACTTTGTTTGATGGAAGAGAATGAAATTCTTGGTGCGCCTCACCTCAATGCCAAGGGACAATGATACGGATAGTTAATTAAAATATTTTAATTAGTTATATTATTATTTAGTAGTTATTTATTATTATTATTATTTATTGATGGTTTAGGATTTTAGTATGGGCCCGAGCCCATTAGGTCAATTAGGATTTTCTGTGTCTTTATATATTGTAACATTTCGTTATTATTATTCAATCAATCAATAATCAAGTATTCTTTTAATCTATCGTCTCTCTTTTCTTGGAGCCCGGAAACGCTCGAAATTCCCCTATCTAATACGATATTTGTATCAATTGGTGCTTTCATTGTTGAACTCACCAAAAAACCAAAAAAAATCCCCACCACCGCCGCCAAAAGAAAACTCGCAAAGGTGTGCCGCTGCAAGCCTCCACTGTCGCAGCCGCCACCTGAACCTCCTTCTACCCTGCTGCAAACTCTACATTAAAAACAATATACAGAGTATATTTTTGTAGGTTGGATTGCAGCCCAGCCGTCCAAAGATTGGTGCGGCAGATCCAACTCCTTGCTACTAGTTTCGGCTTCAAAATTTGCAGATTGCCAAATTTCTTGCCGTCATCAGCAACAGCAAGCCATCAAATTGGAGTTGCCCCCTTTCTTCCCTTGCTCAAATCATATTACAGCCGTTAGAGGTAATTGAATTTTTTTTCGATCAAGGTGTTATAGAAAGCTATGGTTATCGAGATTTAATTTCTTAAGTGGCCACCCAAGGGAAAAAAAGGCTGAAAGTAGCCAATCATGAAGCACGACTTTTCGTCACGAATGGAGGCCTTATTCGCACGGTTTGAGACTTTGATTATGTGTACCTGTGTGCACTGGACAAGCTTATTAATTTGTTGGAAAATGTTTTATATAGAGAAATTGAGCACGATAAAGGAGTGTGTGCAGTTTACGATCTCATAGATGAAATTATAAAGAATCTCCCGTCATCTCGTACTATTGAAGGTCAGCCAAATTATGGCTCTGACTTGTACGCGTTTGATATAGAAATCTCTTGCTCCATACAAGATTTGGTTCGTGGTCCCCCAATTTTGCCGAGTTTGATTCCTTGGGAGTTACAAAACTTAAAAACAAAATGTAATCCTTTTATTCAAGCAAGCAATAAAGAAATATCAAAATCATAATCTCCTTCTCTATTCTCTTAGAGCCTGAAAACGCTCGAAGTTTTCCATCTTTCTCTACCTCATCTTCTTGGAGTTTGAAGAACGTTCGAAGTTTTTCCCTATCCGATATGATATTCGTTTCAATTGGTGCTCTCAAAACTCAAAAAAAAATCCCGGCCGTCCATCGCTGCACATTCCGGATGATCCAGAGTATTAAACTCTAAATTTTATATTGAGGCTACACTACTTTGCAGCAATATTGTGCCCCACGACAAAAAAGGGTCTTGAATTGCTTATTTGCTTTTGTTTCTTGATTGAAAGTGTTAAGAAGAAATCAATTGTCGGCTGGTCCAAAAGCCAAGAAGCTCAATTCACTTGTCGGAGCCTCAATTCATTTTTTTTTTCTTGCTGCAAAATTGCTTTCGGCTTTTGCAAGCCCAAGGAAAAAAAGATGTCCATCAGGCAGTATGATTTTTCGTCAAGAATGGAGGCTCGATTCCTACAGCTAGAGGCTTTGATTATATGTACGGGTGCACTGGACAGACTTATTAATTTGTTAGACAATATTCTATATAGAGAAATTGAGCACAATGAAGGAGTATGCAGAGTTTATGATCATGTTGATGAACTTATAAAGATGCTCCAGTCATTTCGTCATATTGAAGGTCGGTCAAATTATGATTTTGACTTACACACATTTGACATTGAAATCTCTTGCGCGATACAGTTTTGCCAAATTTGATTCCAATGGAGTTACGAAACTTTAGAACAAACATGTTGGGCGCTATGAAAATTATCATTGACACTCCGCCATATGCGCCAAATGTGGTCTCTACAGTAATTGAGCAAAACGCTGAAGCACAGGACCACGCATCCAAGGAGGAATCAAGCATTGACTCACAAGTTGGAGATGAAGTGGACATCGGACCTGAAGCAATAAACAAAGACGACGGGAGGTTCAACGTGGATTTTTAAGGGGGTGGGAATGATAGAGATAGTTAATTAAAATATTTTAATTAGTTATATTATTATTTAGTAGTTATTTATTATTATTATTATTTATTGATGGTTTAGGGTTTTAGTATGGGCCTGAGCCCATTAGATCAATTAGGGTTTTCTGCGTCTTTATATATTGTAACATTTCGTTATTATTATTCAATCAATCAATAATAAAAAATTCTCTTAATCTCTCGTCTCTCTTTTCTTGGAGCTCGGAAACGCTCGAAGTTTTCCTTCTCTCCCTACCTCCTCCCTTTCTTGGAGCCCGAAGACACTCGAAGTTCTTCCCTATCCGATACGATATTCATATCAGACAAAATGTAAAAGACTCAACTCTTTCAATCGAAAGTCTTGATGCATATCCTTAGTAATGTTAGAAATTAGAGTTGGAGAACTTTCCGTAATGATAATATCATCAACATAAACTAGGATGATGACGGGTCCTCGAGAGCAATGGAGAGTGAATAAACTAGTGTCATGGATACAATAACGGAAACCAATACCTTGTAAGAAAAATGAAACTCGTGTGTACCACACACATGGAGCCTGTTTGAGGCCATAGAGACACTTCTTCAACTTGCAAACATAGTACGATTGTTATGGGTTTATGTAACACGACATACAAATTTATTTGCCCACAGTACCATATAAAAGGGTATTACTAACATTAGTTGATGAAAAGGCAAATTGTTATGAAGAGCCAATGCGATAACAAGGCGCATCGTTTACTGTTTTTCCCGTTTTTTTGCTCTCCTAATCCCTTTTATCCTTCTTTTTTTGTTGCATGTATTTTGCCTCACTTTTTTTCTTCTTTCCAAATTCAACTTTTTAAAAAATAATCTAACCTTTTTTCAGAAACAGAAAATACTAATTCTCTTTTTAGTTATGTATGTAGTTTTTTGCATTTCAATCTATTTTCTTTTTTAAAACAATCTAACATATTTTCTGAAACTAAAACTACATATTTTTTAAAATTAATGTTTTTATCCGAAACTATACAATTTATGTAGATAGTTAAACTAATGTTTTTAAAAATAAATTTTTCTTTGTACAATTAAAATTTTTACACGAAAATACAAATATTAATAAAAAATGAAAAATAAAACACAAATGAACTAATTAAAATATGTCAAAAATGTTAAAATTGACAAAAAAAAAACAATACCTACTAGTGTAGGGCATGTCACATCAATTGAATGTCACTGCGTGATTATGCATTTTTTGATTGGTTGTATTGTGTCACGTCACCATGCTATTCATTATGTTCTAATATGGTCCTTCAAAAAAATATATTAATATGATTTCTTAAATTTCAATTTTAAAACATGAAATTTTAAATTTTAAATTATAAGAAAACCGTGTGAATTTTAATTTGAGTTTAAATTTGAATTTGAAACATGTCGTTAGTTTATTTGATCGCATTTTCGAACTCTTTTTCCAATTCTTCGTTTCCAATCCCATTTTGTTTCTTTTCTTTCTCCCGCAGTCATCAGAGCGGCGGCAATCAGGAGTCTGTTCAATCAAGGTGATTGACCTCCATTAATGGCGGCGACCGGTGCTTCTTCATCGAATGTCGATTCCTTCAGGATCTCAGATTTACAAGAGCAGATACATTCTCTGCGGCAAGGTGTTTCTTCGAGTCTGGGTGAATATTGCACCAAACTCAAAACCCTTTGGAACGAACTGAGCAGGTTTCGGCCCCTCCCCGTCTGTTATTGCAATCCAAAGTGCAGTTGTGGAGCTCTGGGGGTGATACAAAAGCACCGGGAAGATGACCTCGTCATCTGTTTGTTAAAAGGCCTGAATGAGAACTACTCCGGCGTCCAGTTCCAGATCATGCTTATAAACCCTCTTCCCAACTTAGGGAAAGTCATGGAAATTTTGCAGGACCGCGAGCGCCAGTTATTGCAAGAAGGCACATTGTCCCCTCCTCAAGAAACTCAAAGGGGCTCCGATTCGAAAGGGAAAAGGGCAATGTGTACGTACTGTGGGCTGTCGGGGCATACCATTGAGAGATGCTATAAAAAACACGGATATCCGCCTAGGTTTAACCAATCGAACCAAGGGGAAAGGTCTCGTGATGATCATCTCGACGCTCGAATAAGTTCGGAAGTGGGTTCTTTTCAATGGATCACTCCTTTTTGGAGTAACATTGAGCACATGGTGACTGGAGTTCACCCCGAATCCACACAGTTACGCTTGGTGTCACATTGTCAACCTAGGCTAGATATGGCAGGTATTCGTTGTCGTCCTCGTTGTGGTCTTTGAATTCACACATTTACATGATTTTGCTATGTGTCCAGCTTTCTTGTCTGTTGCCATTGACATAGAGGCAGCATATCACATTTTTTGTAGGGATCCGATGGATATTCGAACCACCACACACGATTAATTGGACGAAATCTAGAAAAGATATGGATGATACTCGGGTGACCAAGGGGGTATAATTGTACATTTTTCTCTCTCGTCACCCGATCCATCACCCTAACCACTCGCCCTCCACATATACTTGTTAAAATTTTAATACTTATACCAATAGACTACTCCATATGGTAAAGTAAACTAAGGTTTCTTCCACTGCACCAAAAAAATAATGAGGGATAATTTTATGTACTATTATTGTCAAACAAAATAGTAATTTTATTATTATTGCTATTTTTATACTCCATAATATTTTAATGAAATGCTATCAGTAATAAAAAAGTTGATATTGATTTCATCAGTTTTACACACATTTCACCCGTGGGTTATGGATAATGTACGTAATGATGATGGGGGGATCAGGTGACTCATGAAAAGTTATTGAATGGACGAGGGTGAAGCTCCACCCGATCCAAACCCAACGCTCGTCATTTCTAATTATTTATATGACTTATATTTCTTTACATACCTGTTGTTAATGCGAATAAAAATTGTTGAATGGACACCAAACACCAGCAACAGAGATAATAGGTGATACGGAGTAGTATATATTGTTTCAACTGATTAGCCATGAATGACAGGTAAGGACTCTCAACACACATCATCCCCATGGCCACACCTTCAGGCAGAGATTCTGGCTATGATTTCAAACCGCCTCGAAGAAGACATTGGCAACCTTCGCCTCCGCTCTGTTTGTTCTAATTGGCGCTCCACTGTTCCCCTTCGCAAACCTGATTTATGGGCCTCTTTCAAACCCCCCTTCCCTGCTTTCATCAACCCCAATCGCCCCGGAAACTTCATTCTTTCCAGCAGCACCATCTACTTACTCCAATCAGCTCAACCCACTTCGCCATGGTGGTTGATCCGGGTAGAAAGAAAAAGAGGCTTTGGGAAATTCCGCCCTCTGAGCCCATTCTCCAGAACTATGACCGAGGATCATACCCCAAAGAGTTTTCCCAGAGGGCTTAACTTGCTGGATGTTCGGATTCGCGAAATCGGAAAGGCATATAGTTTGGATTTCTTCGAACATGGCAAGAAGATGGAGACAAATCTTTACGAGATGAGCCGCAGGAAAGTGGTCATGTCTTCAGTTCCCTGGACCAGAAACTCTGGTGAAGAAGGGGGTTATGCTGTTCTCGCGCTTTTCTCTGGAAAGTTGGCGTTTATAAGATTAGGCAATGAGAATTGGAGTCAAATTACCTGTCAAGGTGGGGCTACTTATTATGATATTCTCTACAGTAAAAAGAAAGATGTGTTCTATGCGCTTGATACGTTAGGTAGGCTCGTTATGATTGACAAGGATCTTAAGGCGAAGGAGATTGTCTCTAAAGAGCATTTTTGCTATAGTCGCTCAACTCGCAAAGAAAGGTACTTGATTGAGTCTAATGGAGATTTGTTCTTGGTCCACATGCTTCCTGAGCGAGACTATAGCATTTTAGAAGTGTTTGAAGTTGATGTTCTTAAGCTCAATGAAAAGAGGGGAGACTGGGATTACTATGTGGATTCATTGGGCGTTGATCAAGTATTTTTTGTCGGGGAAGATTGTTCCTATGCCGTGCCAGCTCAGGAGTTTGGATTGGAGAGCAACTGCATTTACATATCCGATGAGCGTTTCATGTATGACAATGAACAAGATGCAAAACATGGAGGCATATGCCTCGACGGTGGCGTTTACTGCTTCACTGATGGAACTTGCGGGCCTTTTGCTTCGTACCCTGACCGTTGCAAGATTTTCTTGAACTCGCCTGAATGGCTCAACGGCCCCGAGGCAAAAGCTGGCAACACCAAGGGGAAAAGGCGCGGTTCCAAGAAATCAAAGTAAGATTTTCAGCATTTTCTTTTCATACTTTTACAATACCCATGCATCTCGAGTCCTGACTGGATAAGTAGTAGTATGCTTAATACTTTTTGTCTATTTGAGACAATGTAAAGTTTCAGTTTTCTCAGTCCGAATGTTACAGTAATATATACATACATACATATGAAGGCCAATGCATATGAAGGGGTAATGAAAGCCAATGCACAAAATTGAAATTTCATTTCACTTTTCTTAGTTATTTGTGGCTTCTTTGCCTCTTTCGTTGGAAAATACATACATAGGACAATCATTAAGCGAAGAAATACACTCCTTTGAATGACTGAGAATATGGCGTGTATAGGATTATGGTGACGTGGTAGTGTTTTGAAAAAGCTTTCTAACAACAACATGTAACATTACTATTTCCAAAGTTATAGTCTAAAGCACTAAGGTTGCGTTCCTTTTACCTTGATATGATCTGATTTTCTGAAGATCTGATCTGGTCGAATCTAGTCTGATTTGATTTGGTTGTAATTATATTTAAAGCTTTTTCTGATCTGATTTGATTTAGTCTGATCATATCTAATTATAATAATAATAAGTAATAAGCAGAAAAAATAAGTTGAATGAAATGCTGCCTAATTGAAAAGCGTCAGAAATCAACTACATAAGGACACCTGAGTTTTAATTATCCAAGAAAGGATATAGAGTAATCGATCGAGAATTCGGGATTAAAGAATTGGTTGCATCACGTAAGGGGTCCTTGTTGATCTCATTTACTCTTTTTGTTTAGTGTATTTGTCTAATTTAATTTTTTTGAGTCAAACATAATGAACTTTAAGCTTCAATTAAACAAAAATGATAGGAACTGGAGTCTGCCTTCGAACGTGCAAAAACTTCAGAGATCATATCTGATTATTCTTTATTGTCATTGCTAGGAGTCAAACTCGAGCTTATCCCCTTTGACATTCACCTCTCAACCACTTGAGTTAAGCCATTCAAACGTACCATACTATCATTTGGAAAGAAGGAAAGTTCTATCTAAAAGAATTGCCTAACCTCATAGAGACGATGACCTTGTCTGAAAATAGTATTTTTGATAAGCGATAACATTTTGAATAATTTTATTAATTGTATAAATTAACTTTAAAAACAACAAAATTAAATATTGTCGTTGAATAGTCCTTATAAATTAAAACATTAAGGCTTCGTTTGGTACACAAAATTTAAGCCATCAAATTAAAATTGGAGATTTCAATTCCAATTCTAATGTTGGTAACACAAAATATGCGGATTTGGAATTGGTAGTGCAAAAAATGAATTGGAATTGGAGAATTCAATTCCATTCGATTTGAATTTCATAGAATTTTAATTCTAATTCAATTTTAATTCCATCAATTCTATGTACCAAAGAATCCCTTACCCTAAACATTGAAACTCTTGCAAAAAATTGCTTCACATTCCATAAAGAAATGGGTACTAAAGATGCCTAAAATTTGAAACATATTCCCAAAAGGAATAATATTATTAGCCACCCAAATGATATTAACAAGGATGCTTATTACTAAGGATGCTTTGCCTACACCTCTAGAAGATAAAATCAACCTCAAATATGGAAATCTTCAATAAGTGGTCTTCTCAATGTCACTTTTGAGGAAATATGAAAAACTCCGTGAAATTTTCGGCAGCAAAAATGAGTATTTTCATTGACCATTTGTTAAATGTAGAGTATAAATACTTATTTTATGAAAATTTTGACATATTTTTTAAATATATACGGAATAAATTCTTTTTAAATAATTACATATGAAAAGTTATGCATCAATTATTAAATAAATTGATTAAAAATAATTTTACTAGGACATCATAAACTTTGATGATTTTTTTAACTACATTGCGCAGATTTTTCCGGTAAGAGCAACTTTGTTAGGAATGGAAAATATGGGTCTGTTTGAAAATAGCGTTAGAGATTAGTGTTAGCGTTGTAGATAAACTTTTAACGGTGTAGATTACTTTGAAAACGCTAACGCCAAACGCTGTCCGTAGATAGCCTTTTCAGATTGCAAACTTTAAAAATCGTTTGGGTGTTGTGTTGTGTGGCTTAGTATTTCTTTTATGAGTGCAATAATTTTTATGTCGATTTTAAATTATAAAATGCAAATAAAAATTTATGGAACATAATTTTATATTAAAACTTAAAATATAAATTCAATTAATTTTTTCACAAATAAAGTATCTTGGTTTATTATACCAAAAAATATGTAGATAAAATAAATTTATGACATGTGAGGCCCATTAACTAAAAAAAGAAGAGAAAGTGTGAGGAATTATTAAAGTCAATGAGAAAAGTTAAGAAGGAAAGTAATGTGGAATGAAAAAGGAGAGAGAGAGGAAGTGAGGGGGACGGGTAAAGATGCTCTAACTAACGTTTTTCATTCTTGAAATGTCCCCATTTTACTACTTGGATAATTCTGTCACCCATATCCTTTAATTTGGAAAAGTAAATGTATCCTTGTTCATGTCTTTATATGAGGATCTGTCTCTAACACTTTGAAACATACTCAGTATGTTTTTATGGGATGAAGGAAGTGTATCATGTTGTTTGGTACAAAGTACTATTATATTCTAGTGAGGAAAGATGATTTAATAGATGGTATAGAGTAAATAAGAATAAACTTCATACAAGGGTCTCCTTAGGCTTGACATTGACAATTACCTGAAAATGGGTAAATGAAGCTTTAACCTCAAACTAAGTAACATGATACGAAACATGTGTATAGCCCCAACAATAACTTTATGCAAAGCATAAATGTCCCACACTATTTTGGCTAGAAGTCAAATAGGTCACAACGCCGTCTTTTGTATCTTTGTTGACCAGTTGAGCTACGTCAAGGTAGAGACTAACAAACCATGACATACAATCCTGACGTTGTATGGTGGATGAGTGGCATGTCGTGAAGCTGTAAACTATGCATACACTTAATTACGTCATGTGTTATGGTGTGGTTTGACGGGGGCTTAATGGATACACATAGGCACCCCATAAGCGGGTTGGTATAAGTAGAATATGTGTTGTGATGCTTCAAAGGGCGGGTGACAAAAAAATGTAATGTAGTAAAAGTGTGAATTATTTTGATTGGTAAAAATAACTGTGTTAAATTTTGATTAGTTAAAATTGAAAAGAAAAAGGCCACTCTCATGATGGTTGTGGCACCTTAGAGGACAACCACCCATTCTCGTCTTGATCCCCAATAAGGATGAGTGGCACATTTTGTATGACACGAAAGTATGATACATGAGATTCAAATATTCAATCAATTAAAAATTGATAAAATAGTACTCAAAATTAATATTGGTTCAGATTAAAAAGAAGTATTTTAAACCATGTATACATTACCAATATTGAAAACAAAACACGCGTGAAGTCATTTTTGGACGTCCAAAAAAGAAAAGTGTAAAACATTCAACAACTTTGTTAAGACTTTTTTCCTAGAAGAATTATCAAACCTAAAACAAAGATAAAACATTGCATAAATAAAGTTACTATAATTCTCATTATCACAAAACGGACAAGTGAAGGGATCAAAGAATAAGCTTTGGAGCTTATTGCCAAAAGGAATAAAGTCATTGAAAACCCAAATGGTTTAGTCTAAAAACGAGAAAGAATAATCCCATCGCTGCTGAGCAAGAACAATGCAGTTGTTATTAATAATATTGTTATAGAATAGCTCCAATTTTGAACTCTCTCTCTCTCTCTCTCTCTTCCTAACGGGAATATTTAATATTTATAATCCCAATTTCATCTGAGTCTTCTTGATTTGGTCGAGGAATATCCATGTCAACTGCATAAGAAATAAAACGGGTATTAAGTCAACTCTTGTTTTGTAGAACTTTTACGTAGTTAATGTGGACATATTCACCAAATTTTTAATCTATATGAAAAATCATATTCCGTAACAGACAATTATTCAAGAACAAACTGAGTGTAAATCAATTATTAAATAAATCGGAAGGGATCTTTTGACCTTGAAGGCTTGAATCCAAGGTCACATATTATGACCCAGAGCCCTTCCTAGATCGTCAATTTGGGCAGCCCAAATCGGTGATCAAAGACGAATGGGCGCTAGGGTGCAGGGGGCAAGACTTATCAATTTTACCAATTGATAAGTAACTTTAAATAAATTAAATTAAAAGTAACTTTAACTGGGATGGAGGGAGTATTTAATGTTGTTTAATACTTTTATATTGCACTGAGGCAGGATGACTTAAGGGAGGATATAGAGTAACATACCATGACATGAGGAGCAATCCTAACACAGTACACCGGGAATCCAGTGTAAAACTTTAAAGGCCCTCCGGCCTTGAGTGTTTTCAAAGCACAATCCAAAGAGCCAGTGTAGGGGTATTTCCCGGCAGAATCTGGTTGCATCTTCTGTATTTGAGTTTTTACGTAATCAAACGGTAGGCTGCAAGCTGAAGCAAAGAATCCTGACACTGCGCTAGCCCCTGAAACAAAAAAGTGGGCATCCACGTCAGGAAATTCTTCATTTTTGGATGGAAATTTTTAAAACGTGCATGTATTATTTTAAGTATCCAGCACACTATTGAGGGAGCATTCCAAAGAGCATTCATATCTTCAGTTTTAGAAATGGTATTTTGATCAAGAAATAGACCAACTACATAAATACTTAGGTGGGCATCGAGAGTCAATAAAGAATGTTCTTGGCTTTGCTTAGCTGGGAAAAGACCCATGGTTTCCTCTAAAATTCGGGTTTCATGTTGCATTGTGTGTTCTTCATCCCTCCCAGACCTACATGTATTCACCCTGTTCTTGGCCATAAGGATGGTGTTGGAACCTTAGGATTCTCAATAATAAACTCCAACATTATATGTTCTTTATCTTACCTATCACAGTGGGAACCTCATTCAAGCCAATAGAATCCTTAAGGTACTCTGCAGTTTGATCATAAGATGCAAGCATCCCCATGTTTAATGCCATTGCCCTCACAACTGTAGGCCCAGCACCCTTCCAAAGGGATAGAAAGCCTTCATCGGCAACAATACGGTATAGTGCATGGAAGGCATTTTTGTAGTGACGTCGCTGGGCAGCAG